GCCAATAAAATTGTGTTGTACCTCCAGGACTGTGTTTCATCCGGTTACTGGGAGGAAATGGGTCTCCTTGTACTTTAAATGGTTCTTGACTGGCTGAAGAAAGGGAATTAGCGGAGGTAACCAGTCGGGTTACGTGTGGTCTGCTACTGTGTTGGTCTTCAATTAGAAATTCACTTTGAATTCTGAACAATTCATACTTTAGTCAATAAACTTGAATATAACCCAAATAAAAAATAAAATAAATAAATAAATAAATAAATAAATGTAATTGGTTGCTTATGGTGTTTTGTATTTGTAGGGAGAGGTAGCTTGTGGTGGTGGATTTATGTGGTGAGGCTGTTTGTAGTGATGTGTATGTAAAATTGTTAATGATTGTGTGTATGTTTGCATCAATTACAATTATTTACATAGCACCAACTTATATACTTATGCCTATTATATTTACACATATTAATGTACATTTATAAATGCATAATACACAGAGAAATTTCATTAATATGTACCATATGTAATGAGCAGATATTGGCCCAGTCTTGTTGCTAGGTGCATACTCCAGCACAATAACATATTTAAAGTGAAGAGCACACCCACAGGACTTCAAAATAAACACTTTTTCAGTTGTGCCCTACATACATTCACCATTTCAGTCCCATTACCAAGCTTTCCTTAATATGTCAAGGTAGTTGGACTGAAACATTGATTACATGCAAAGGCACGTCTGCTTAAAATAAATCTGCACTTTTGTTTATTTTGAAGCCTATGAGTGCGCTTTTTACGTTGAAGTACTTTTTAATTTTAAGTTATCTGTTCTAACTCTGTATCTGCACACTATGCTGGCGCGACGCATTATGGGGCTGGTAAATATTTTTTTCCAGGGCTGCTTTTAATTCCCAGTCCGGCCCTGATGACAAGGCAAACAATAAAAATAACTTACAACCCACAGTTATATTCCACTATCTCAAGACTCCTTTCACAAGACATAACACAACCTCCACCTGAATATAACCATAATACCACAGAAAACAAGTTCTTTAGATCAGACGTTTTAAAGTCGTTCTTTACCCAGACAGACTAGTAGGACGTGGATCTGAGAGCGAAATTGATAAAGGTAGAAAAAACGTTTTTCTTACCTTCCTGTACAGCTGATTTCACTGTCAGAGGGATGGACAAAATAAGCCTCTGACGTTTTATTCATCAGCTGGGTTTTATACATTAAAAAGTAAGTGCTTACGTGCAAATACTCTTAGAACAGTAATAGGAAGAGTGTACAGATAAGACATAGGGATGAGCATCATGTACCCATAACAAATAAGTTTCAAGGTATGAGAGAACAAAATGATTAGAGCAGAGACATCTTAGGTGGGGGCTCTCTGCTCTCGGAACTTAGACATATATATAAGTGTTGTTTAAGCATCAAGCATTTCCTGAGTCCAAGTTAGCCAATTTTAATATAGGATATCATTATATGACACCTATAAGCTTGAGCCTTGGAATCAAGATAAATTCTATCACACATTGCGTTGTGATGCTCATCTGCTAGTCTGACTGCATCATGTAGGGTAAGGTGTTTTCGGTCCTTTACCCAGTCTTGTACATCTGGTGCCAGCCCCTTAAAAAATTGCTCTAATAGGACCAGTTGTAGTAAGTCCTCGAGGGTAGTGGCTTGGGTAGCTTGCATCCACCCCATGGCAGCTCATTTTAAACAGTGAGCCCAACTGCATACAAGTCCTTTTCTTGCTTTTTAAGATGCTGGAATTTGCATCTGTATGCCTCGGGGGTGATGTCATAAGGTGCCAGAATCCCTGTTTCACCTTACGATAGTCTCTGCTGTCCCCATCAGGAACTGCGCAGTACACCTCTGCTTCATGGCCAGATAATTTACCGACCGGCAGGGGCACCCAGTCTGCTGGACTGACATCATGCAGATGGCAAAGTCCTGGAGGTATTCGTCGATTTCTTCCTTTGCATCTGTAAAACTTTTAAACGCTTGATATGGAATTTACATTTTTCCCTGCGTGATGCTGGATGCTGCTGGTGACCCTTCCCTGAATCGCTGGTCTGTTGGTGGCCACCTGGCCACCTGGCCATGATATACTCCTGTACATCCGCCATCAATGTGTTCAATATCTCAGTTGAAGGTGTTTCCGGGTAGAACTCCAATCTGGTTCTTTTTGGAATTCGGTTTATTCCCTCTGTGGTGGAGGTGCCTGTAACGGAGCTCCTAGTACTCTGACCGAGTACCTCCATTGATGGATGCTCCTAGTGCTTCCCGAGGGCTCCATGCACTTCTCCAGACACCATAAGCACTGCAGACCGAACCTCTCCTCCTGCAAAGAGCGAAGCTGGAAAAAGATCTTGGAAGAGCTTAGTGATTATAGCTAGGGGAGAATAGCAATCCCCTAGTGTTGATGCAGCAGTATCCCCTAGGCATGTGCATGGGGAAAATATTCGGCTCAGTTCGGCATTCTGAAATTCGGGACTTCATCAATTTGGGACTTCGTCAATTCGGCACTTCACCATGTAACGGAGCTCCCCGTACTCCGACCAAGTACCCTCCGTTGATGGACGCTTCCTAGCTTGCGCCGAGGACCACAAGCTCCGCACTGGACACCACAACCACCACAGACTCCGCAAACACTGTAGCTTGACTGGAGTCTCGCCGTCTTCCTTCCACCCTGGATCAGCTTCTGTCCTCCAGGACCGTGTGGGAAAGACCTCTTCCTTCCACCATGTATGAACCTCCAGCATCCAGGACTGTGTGGGGAAGACCTCTCCTCAAAGGAGAGCACGTCAGGAACAAGCTCTTAAAAGAGCTAAGTGATTCAAGCTCAGGGGAGTATACAGAGCATAGCAATCCCCAGTGTGATTATAACAGCTCCCTCCAATAACGAGACAAGGCTACATTTAGAGGTATCAAGAAGAACTCTCTAAACCTTTATGTTACTTGGGACTAGCCCATATGGTCATTACATTAACATTGCTGTGAAAACTCAATAAAATTACAAACAGGAGCTCTAAGCACCAGGATCTTCTGTCCCACCCATCCTATGTAGGGCCTCCTGATCGTACCACCGTTTCTGTCTGTTTTGGGCCGCATGGCGGTGATCTCTGGTCATCCGGGCTAACTGTTCTATACGGTCCTGCATTTCCAGAACATATGGTACAATATGTGTACCATTTGCACCTCCCAGTGCTCCCGGATGAGGTTGAGTTGTCCTCGTACCCTCCGCAGCTCAAAGGGTGAAAACCCAGTGGATTCCTGAGGCACCTCTCGATAGGCGAACAAGAGGTGCGTCAGGAATCGCTCTCAGTCTCTGTACTCTTCCGTAAAGGTCCAGAGCAATTGCTTCAGGGTACCGTTGAAACGCTCACAGAGACTGTTCGTCTGGGGGTGGTAAGGAGAGCCGAGATGGGGGTTTTATACCACAGACCTTCCATAACTGTTGGGTTAGATCTGAGGTAAACTGCATCCCCGTCAGATGGGATTTCTTTCGGGAACCCCAATCTGTTGAATATTCCGACTAGGGCACTGGCAACAGTGTCAGCCTGAATATTCGTCAGAGCGACTTCCTCTGGATAGCGGGTAGCGCAGTCCACCAGGGTAAGAATGTATTACCGGATGGACTGGGGTTAGGTAGAGGTCGCACCAGGTCAACTGCTACCCTGCTGAAGGGTTCCTTGATCATTGGCATGGGCTGCAGTCGAGTTTTAGGGTGGTCCCCTCTCTTCCCTACTCTCTGGCATACGTCACACGTACTACAGTAACGACGCACGTCCTTAGAGACCCCAGGCCAAAAGAAGGACAGGGCGATCCTATAAGTGGTGCGGTTACCACCCAGGTGTCCTGCTAAGGGGATGTTGTGCCCAATACGAAGAAGTTCCAACCGGTACTTCCGGGGTACCACGAGTTGGCGCTTCTGGGACGGGGCACTCCCTCTCTTCCTGCCTGTGGTTAGTCTATATAATCGATTCTTGTCCCAAATAAACCTCTCATGTTCATCCACCCCAGTCTCAGCTTTCTCTCTGTATTTCTGAAGGGAAGGGTCCTCCCTAGTTTCTCTCCCAAATTCCTCAGGGGTGTCCCAAGCTAGGAGTCAGGGGAAGGGGCGACAAGGGGCTTACCTGGGTCTCCCGTCCTGGAGCAGGATCCACGTCACCACGGCTCTGGGAACGGGTGGTCACCGGGCAGGCAGTAGCAGGAGTGGTGGGCAAATAGGCAGAAGTCAGTGGCCTAGTAGGACCTCTGCGGGTAGACTGTCCATGATTCCAACGGTAGTCTTTCCCGAACCAATTTCCCAGTCGAAGTGAACTCTGGCAGTGGGCAGACGGAATACAGCTCCTCCAGCCACACGGACAGCCACGGTGCGACTGGACAGGTGTTCTGGTTTGACCAAATGTCGTTGCACCAGGGTGATGGTTGTGCCTGTGTCCCTGAGGCCTTGAGCTACTTGGCCGTTCACTCGTACTTCCTGATGATGCTGCTGGCGATTGTCCGGGGAGGCAGCTGTAACTGCTGGTGGTTCCCTTATTTACCACTATAATGTCTTAAAGCATAGAACTTAGTAGGGCTAACCATACAGATATCTTAGCCATAATTTTATATAGTGTAAGAGATCCTCTATTTAACATGTATAAATAATTGAGAATACAATATAAAATAAGGATTGTCTTGGAAGCAAGATTGTCTTTTTGGATATTTATTATATAAAAATATAAAATCCATTATAGCAGAGTTTATAAGATTAAATTACATGCTTGCAAATATCATTAATAGGTTAACATACCCTTCTGAACATGTCATCATGTCAGCCTCTCTGTCATTTTAAGATGGAGCAGCGTCTGTCTCCAAGTCTCTCCTCTGTGTCTTAACATTTAAAAGTACACCTATTTATACCTTAGGTGTCTCCATTTTAGGTTACCATAGTTCAAATATGAAAAAGTAACACTTCTTTTACTTTATTCAATTTAGGACCTCCCTTTATTTGGCAAATATACAAGGCCATAACTAAAGGGTGTATACGTCATGGAAATTTTCCTGACTTAGTTCAAGATGGCATCTTAAAGTCTGAATAGGTTATCTGTTGTTTATACTAAGTCGTAAGTGTACAGTCGTGGGAGATTCCCGGATTTGGGGAAGTTCCATTAACTTGGGGTTACCACAGTATATTGTGTACTGCAAGAGTCGTAGCATAGCCTTGAAGCTTGTTTATGCATTATTGTTATTGTAATTCGTCTGGGACAAAATGGCGCAAACATATCATGCACTGAGGTTATTGCTTAAAGAAACAGTTATGAAAAACAATATGTTCCATTTCTAACACCTTGTCAGTTTGCAATATCTCTTAAAGACAAAGTACACAGTTTAAGAAATACAACATTTCATTCTAAAACTTGTAATATTTGCATTTGCCCGTAACACAGCTTGTACTGGATCTGCCTCATACAGGATACCCAGGCATTTCTCGGTGCCCAGCTCGGTTTCCATTGGTTGCAGCTCAGTGGTGGGTCAGGGGCGCCTCCAGTTTGAGGCAAAGGACCCCAAAGTGCAGTACCTGGCAATGTGTCTGGTGTTTTGGCATCGATGGCAAGACGTCTTGGATAAATTCCGGGGATAGTTGTTGGACCTCTGGGAACAGGTAGGCCCTGGGGGTACAGGAGCACGGAACTCCGGCCTGGGGGTTGGAGCTGGGGTATGGTGTTCTATACAAGCTGGTTGGCGAGAGGTACTCTGGCTCACCTTCTGGGTTTCAGCGAACTCATCAACTAACCGGGCAGCGTCCTTTAAGGTGAGGGGGTGGCGGTCTCGCACCCAGTCCTGTAGATCAGTAGGTAAATCCTGGAAAAAATGTTCCATGAGAAATAGCTGTAGCACTTCTTCTCCAGTGTTGGCGTTGCATCCCTTGATCCAGTATGAGGCGACTCGCTACAGCCGGCAGGCCCATTCCATGTGGGAATTGTGACGGAACGCTGGCACTCCGACTGAGTACCTCCGCCAATTGATGCTCCTAGCGCTTGCCGAGGACTCCAAGCACTCCAACCGACACCATCAGCACTGCAGACCCCACTTCCAGCGATGCAACTGCGCTGGGGTCTCTGCTGTCTCCACCCACCCTGGACCCAAGGCCAGGATCCAGCTTCCAGTGGGTGAAACTCTCTTTCCCCAGAGAGCAGGAACAAGCTCTTAGCAGAACTTAGTGATCATGCCCTGGGGAGTATAGTGAACGAGCCAAGGCTTAATGCTGGAACAAGACTGATTTACTGGCACACAGAACTCACAATTTATGCAACACAAAACTCCTCCTCTAGGCCAGGCTAGATAATTGAGTTTCTACAATACACAAAGCTCAATTATCTGCTGGCCAGAAACATTAAAATTTTTACAGCATTCATAACTTCTAAAATATACATCACAGGGACCCCAAAACATGCAATAACCCCATAAAAAGTATATCCTTGGAACCGGGGGATCTGGGTGAACCACATATCCGAAATTCACCCAGATCCGTTCAGTACTTTGGAAGATACAGTTTAATGCAGATTCTGCAGAACATATACAGGCTAAATGAAAAACAATCACTGTATAATGTGTCCCCTGCTGTATAGTCCAAAACCACTGCACGATGTCTCTGTGCACCAAATACTGGCGAGATAGCACCGTGTTGAAAAGTCCAAACAGTGTCTGTGAGTTAAAATGGCCGCCATCCATTGTTCTCACCATGTGCTTCTGATACAGGAAATGGTGGCCACCCAGTAACTCCACAGTATGTCCCCAGATGGTTCTTAAAGGGCCAGCAGCAGTACAACACAAATCCACCATGCCCAAATCATGTCCTTAAAGGGCAATACATCCCAGGGGCCATAGTCACAGGGCAAGAGGCGGACAAGCAGTCCTCTCCAGGCACAAGTGGCGAAGGGCACTTCGTCACAGGAATCCGCAGCTCTTTTCTTGGATTCCCGGAAACGGAGGCGATAGGTCTCCGGAGTAACGGCATATCTGGCGAGTAGAGCCTCCTTAACCAGCTGGTATTGCTGGATGTTCTCCGAGGGAAGAGCCCGAAAGGCTTCATTGGCTTTGTCGGATAGCTTTTTGGCCAGTACAGTGACCCATTGGTCGGGGGGTACCTGGTGCAGTGAGCACTGTTGCTCAAAGTCCGCGAGGTACCAATCGATTTCATCCTCACTTTCCACAAATGCCTTAAAGGCTGCGAACAGGACCTTCCTGGTAGTTGTGACCGGAGGAGGAGTAGGAGCTGTGGGTATAACAGGCTGTTGGGCCCTTACCATTTGTAGATTGTACTCCCTCCTTCTTTCAATCTCCTCCTTGACCTCTAGGATGGTCCGGTCAATACGTTCCTCGGATGGGTTTTGGTATAGAGCTAGCCTCCTCTGGACGATGAGGTTGATGTTATCCTCCTCACGATTCAGGAGGCTCCGCTCGGTGATTTCCATGGACCGATCCATCTCGTTCAGCTCTAGCAGGTCATCAATCAGCTCTCTCCTGGGCCTATTACTGGCACTCCGCCCTCGGCTCTCCAGCAGATCCTTCAGCGTAGGTCTTTTCAGTTAGGAAATATTGATTCTCCATTCAGCGCTTGCACTGTGGATGAAAGGACCGTCCCACCGCTACAACCAGTGTAACGGCTACCCAGGGTAGAGAGGGGTATCTGCCGTTGGAGACGTCCTTCCTCCGGGCAAGATGCTGGGCTGTAGTGGAGAGGCGAAGTCCCATCCGCTGGATCCCTGGAGCAATAGAGAGACAGAGCTCTGAAATGAGCGAGTGATTAAGCTGAGAATTCCCTTTCAATAATGAGACACAGCTACTTTTTGAAGGGTGAATAACTGACTCCTCTGAGCGTTTATTGCTACTTTTATGCAGAATTTTACAAGAATGTCACCACCCTCTGGACTTTGTGGGGCACCAGCAATGCAATTCCAGCAGCCAATCATACATAAGGTTACAATAGAACCCACCCAGCAATTACAATACATTCCTCCCCTCTGCTTAGGAGATAATTGAGTTATTTACTGTATCTACTCAATTATCTCCAAGCTGAAAAATTACACTTTTTATAAATGTTTATAACTTCTTGGTTTTACATCGTACATGCATAAAACTATATTTATGAACAGTATAACTTTGGGACAAACATATTCAAAAATCATGTAAATCTGTTCAGGGATAGTAAAAAGTCTATTTGGACCGACCGTACACCTGTTTGTATGCCCAGAACAGTTCCATAGATTCAGGCTATGTGGTCGGTCTATTTTCATTCAACTAAAAGACCCAGTTTGCACAAACTGATTAATTTGTGCTTGGTCTCTTTGGAAGCGGCTTGTTTGTGGGTTTAGACTGGTGAAAGAGCGCTTTGTTCGTATGAATTTAGCCAAACACATGGATGATGGAAGTTTCAGCTGAGTGTGTTCGACTAAATAAAATGTCCACAGCCATGTGTTTGGCAAACGAACGCCAACCACCCTGTATAGTGATTAAGAAGATGGAGTGTTCATGGTTTTGAGAGATGTTCTTTGAAACTGGGAGGTAAATGAGGGGCACACTCTTGTACTGGGTGGTCGGGCGTTCGGTAAACAATTCGGTAAACAAATGAGTATGGCCAAATGCACGATCAATTCATTTCAGGGAATCCAAACACACAAATGGTCTCTGTCCTCAGTTCCATGCGGCAAATACATAGCTTATTTCGGCATACGAATGGATTAGCCTAATAGACGATTAATTCTGCTGAATGAAGGCAAAACAATGAATAGTCTTGCTACAAATGTATACTTATCTGCCTCCCAAATTTGCCACTTTTTCTCAAATGGGTCTCCGCTCACTGACTTCCTGATTTCTGAAATATTTAGTTATCCAGCATACCTCTTTTTCTTCAAAGCTCTCTGTACCTCTCCCAATACAGTGATAATTCAGCCACTCTGTATGATCTCCTTTCGGCTCTCTACCTTATTCTTGGCACAGCATAAATCAAAAAGCTTCCCCTCGCTGCTCTGCGTCATCTCCCCCAGCCGAGAGAAAAAAGCCCGCGAGATGAGACTTGCCTGCGTGCGTCTACGTCATCGCGCTCCCACCTGAGAAATACTTACTGAGTTTATGTTTTCAGTGCCCAACAAGGTCCACATGGGTGGTAACCTTGTGGGAAACACTGTATAAAAGAAATGCCCCTTGCACTCAATAAACCAGATCTTCTTACCCTTAACTTGTAGCCTTGTCTCTTGTTGTAGGGAACAGCTATACCAGCTATATCAATGCTAGCTCTTGTAAGAGCTCTCTTCAGCTATACTGCTATACTCTCTTGGAGGAGAGACCCAACTATACCCTCCTGGAGGAGGAAGCCTGTGGCGAAAGTGACCTCGCCACTGGGTTCTGGAGGGGCCCGATTGCTCGCCTTTTGCCCCAAGATTCTGGCCCTGTGGTGTATGACCCTTTGGAACTGTTTATTAAGGCATATTGAGACTTTTGGAAACAATGCCCCTTTAAGACTGTGTTCCCAGAACTTTAAAATACTGTGTGAATGTCCTTTTCTCATATGGTCCCGTAATTGGGGCTTACCGAACCAATTACCGAACAGGCGCACCACACAGAAATGGAAGTGTGCGGCCAATTTACCTCCCAGGCTAGGGGTTTACTGCACGTTAATTGCCAGCCGCTGGGTGGTACAGTACAGTCGAACACGTGGCAGCTATCTTTATTTAGTTGAACGCGGTCAGCGGTGTGTGCCATCAAATTCATGGATTCTCCTCCACTTCGACGATTCGGCTAAAATTTAAGTGTGTTTGATGATTAACGCACAGTTATACTACGCCATTTGCACGAACGGCACCTGTTCGTGCATTCAAATGGGACTTAGTTGTTTTTTCTGTGTAAAATAGACCGACCGCACAGCCCAAATCTATGGAGCTCTTTTGTTTAGGAAAGCCATGCTTGCGGTTGGTCAAAAAGGACTTCCACTTTTAAATCACTGGGAATTGTATGATATTTGAGTATGTTTATATTTGGAGTATACTGAGTCATAATATGTAACTGTTATGGAGATTGTATGTATATTTTGTGAGTTATGAATATTGTATATTTTTCTGCCTGGGATAATTAAGTTAGTCTATTGTGTTGAGGTAATTGTAACACAGGCAGAGGGGAGGGTTTGTGTGTATTTGCTGGGAGTGTCTGACTGTATTCTACGTTGTTGATTGGCTGTTCCACAAGGCCATGTGGGTGGTAACCTTGTAGAGAAATATGTATAAAAGAAGCAATAAAACCCCAGCTCAGTCTGTTCCTGCTTACACTCCAAAACTGTGTGTCGTCCTGTTATTGGACGGAAGAAGATTTGCTCCTGTGTCTGCTGTTCCAGCTTGCAGGAGATTCAACTCGGAAAGACCTTGTGAGGACTAGAGCTAATTCCCCATTCGGTTCCAGTGTTCCCAGGACTGAGTGTCATCCAGTGCCTGGAGGTGTTTACTGGAGTGCTTGGAGCCCTCAGGAAGCGCTAGGAGCATTGGGGTACCAGGTGATCCATTACAGAGCCCACTCTAGGGACCCAGTTATATCCTCCTTGAGGAAGGAGCCCGCTTTACCAGCTCCTCAGGACACCAGGTTGAAGCTCTGCAGTGTTCCCCAGTACTGGGAAGAAGGACACCCAGATAGTAACTACCCCCACTCCATAGGGGTGACCGTTACAGACTTAAATGGTGAATGTTGCACAGCTGTAAAAAGCACATGACGTTATCTTGTTGATTTTGAAATCCTATGAGTGTGTTCTTCATTTCGCTGAGATCATCAAACTTCATTGATCACAGCCAATCCAATGTTTTCCCATGGGAAAGCTTTGGGAGGATATTGTGCATGTCTGACAAAAAGCTGCACAGTCAATCAGCATCTCGATGGGTAGCATTCAGCGTCTCCATGCAGACCCAATCTAATACATTGCGCCCTCCTACAATTCGGCCTCTCCTCCCTCCACTAACTGAAAACAGTCCCCACACCCAGCACTCTAATTTATTGCACTGTCCCCCTCCCTCCCCTAATTGAATACACTGCCCCCACTCTAATCTAATACACTACCCGCTCCCTCCCCTAATTTAATTCACTGTGCCCCCTCATAATACACAGCCCCCCTATCACCACTCTAATACACTGCCCCCTTCCCAATTTAACACATTGCACAGGACGGTACTCCAAGCCCCTCTTCTCCTACCTTTACGTGTCCTCCAGTTCCAGCCCTGCTCCTGCGAGCGGGAGGGAAGGGGAAGTGGCTGGCCTGCTCTTCAGACAAGTTGTGGCCATGGAATGGAAGGCAAGAATCAGACAAGAAATATCTTTTCTGTTTTTTTCCCCGCTAACAGCCACAGCACAAAGCTGCGCCAGGGCAGGCGGCCCGCATATATATATTCATTGTGGGCCGCATGTGGCCAATGGGTCACAAGTGCTTGGTCTAACAGATCTGTGGCGAAAGTGGCCTCGCCACTGTTTTTTAGAGGGGCCTGTTTGCCAGCCTCTTGCCCCAGGACTATGGCCTTGAGGGGTATTTCCCTTTGGAAACGATTATTTGGGCTTATTGGATTTTGGGACACTTTTTCTGCCCCTTTGAATACATGGGAAGGTGTGCCCCACCCCTGTTTCATGTCCCATTGTTGTCCGGTAGGGCGTTGTCCCAGGGACACTGCCAGACCAGTTGGAACTGGCTGCTTTGTTCCTCCTCAGCCCTTGCTATGGTTTAACCCCTTGGCGATTTGACTGTGTTCGTGGGATCTGAGCGCTGTTCAGCTATAGTAAGCGTTTAGAACCAAGCTGAGGATAGGTCAAATGTGGGGCTTCAGTTCTATAGAGTATTAGTTATATATTTTAATTTTATCTCCAGGATGGAGGTGCAGATCGACCGGCTGCACAGCCTGAATCTGTGGAACAGTTTTGGGCAGGGAAGCATGCTTGCAGTTTGTCAAAAAGGACTTCCAAGTAACTTTTTAACCACTGGAGGGAACTGTCTGATTTTTAAATATGTCTGTAATTAAAGCATGCTGATTAATAATATGTGACTTTTACATATATTGCATACATAGTTTTAAAGTTATAGGATTGGTATAAAAACTGTATTTTCCTGCCTGTGATAATTACATTAACCCATTGTGTACAGTAATTATATCACAGGCAGAGGGGAGGGTTTGTTTGTCCTGACTGGGAGTGTTTATCTGTATTATAATGTATTTGATTGGCTGTGCTATAAAACCATGTGGGTGGTAGCATTGTGTAAAAATGTGTATATAAGAAGCAATAAAACCACAGCTCTGTCTGCTCCTGCTTACACTCCAAACCGTGTGTCGTCCTGTTTTTGGAGGGAAGAAGATTTGCTCCTGTGTCTGCTGTTCCAGCTTGCAGGAGATTCAATGGGGAAAGTCCTTGTAAGGACTAGAGCTAAATCCTCATTCGGTCCCAGAGTTCCCAGAACTGAGTGACGTCCAGTGCCTGGAGGTGTTTGCTGGAGTGCTTGGAGCCCTCAGGAAGCGCTAGGAGCATCCTTCAACGGAGGTACCAAGTCGGGGTGCCAGGTGATCCGTTCCAAGATCCATCTAATTCCTAAAAAATTTCTTTCATTATATTATGATCTACAATTTCTTCATCACTACTAAACCACTATCTTCTATCTGAGTTTTTGTTTCAGCTAATGTTGCATCCTATGTACTATTAAAAGAGAGTCTGGGGGCAATTTCCCTTGTATTAACAATTTTGGAGGAGTTTTGCTAGGGAGGCTTGGGAAATTACTACACCTTGTAACAACACATATTTTTCAGTTGTTTTAACAACACATCTTATTTTTGTTTCGATGTACTATAAACATAACAATTACTTGCCTTTTTAAGTTGACACTATTCATGCATAGAATCATTAGTTTCAAGAAAGCACTTTGCCAATAATGCAACTTTTTGACTTTCCATTTTAAACCAGTTGACTTGCTCAATATCCCTTAATCTGTCTAATACTTTCAATAATCTCAAATATTTTCAGGATTAACCTCTTTTACAGACAGATGTTACATGTTACACACAGCCACTCCACAATTAACTCAACAGTTAAAAAGATATGTTTAACAAAAACAATATATGTATAAGAGCAACGTTTTACTAATGTGTTTATTCCTCCTGCTCCCCTCTGACTCCACATAGTAACTTTGGGATGTTTAATCAAAGGATCCTTGGAATGTCATGCAGCTTCAGTCCTGGGCGTCCGCAATAATTCCAGGGGGATATTTGTAATGACAATGAGCATACTCAATAAAAAGAGAGCCTAGGGGGAAATTTTCCTTCTGTTAACCATTTTTGAGGAGTTTTAACACACACACACACACAATATCATTGCAGACAAGTTCAGCCATGTACACACACATGCTCACTGCAGACAAGCTCGCTGACACACATGCTCACTACAGACAAGCTCACTGACACACACATGCTCACTACAGGCAAGCTAATGGACACACACACCCACACATACAAACTTACTTACTAGCAGGCGCACACACATATACAATCACTGTCATGGGCTGAAGCTTACCTGTCACAGGCTGTGGGAGACTAGGAGCACTGGGAAATTAAGTCTCCATATTCTATCACCTTCCTTTGGGTGAGGTCAGCAGCGTGAGTGGGGGGGCTTTGGGGGTGGGGCATGTGTACGTGAGGCGGGGCCTGAATGTGAGGGCAGAGCATAGAGGCGCCAAATTGCTGTGGATTTGGAAGGGAGCCTCTCAGTGCCCCCTGGAAGCCTAAATCCAGCCCTCAGCACCTCCCTCCTTCTTTGCCTTTAGACTGAACTGTCACAGTCCGAGGAAAAATTACCTGTGGGGAGGGGGCAAGTTGAAAATTCAGAGGGAATCAAGTGCCTCCCATGCTGAAAACCATGGCTTCTGTCAACAAATATTACTCCTTCATCAAGCAGGGTACTACCACTTGTTGCAGGGAACCATTTGACTTTTTCTACAGTTATGTTTTTCTTGAAACATAGAGGTATGTAGGAATGCACAAAATTGGAATGATGGTTCTTAAAGTGCAAATAAGATAAAAATACAACCTTTCACTACAACAGCGTATTTAGCAGTATCTATAAGAAATAAATGGACCGCACATTGGCTGATGCTGAGATGTTTGTTTGTCATATCACAGTTCCAATAATTGAATCAGATTGTCTTGCAGCCTTAAAATTTGTATTTAAACATACACGACATCCAAAAACAACATAAAGTCTTTGCACGCATCTGGACCAATACAGCAATATGTATGCACATCACGTTAATATTTGATTTTTGATATTAAGCATTGGTGGTGAAAAACTATCTGCAAAAGGCTCTTATATTAATTAGGAGGTGTACATATAAGGATAAGGTTATTTAATTGTTTAAAATATGTGTAAAAGGGTTGTGGCTTAATAACCATTCTGTCCAATCTAGCCATGAATTATAAAAATGGTTAACTTTTTCCCTTGGTTTTTACTGTATGTGTTAAGGGTTAAGGTGTACTATGGCAGTTGCTGCCGCCCAAGAGTAGTGGGTGTTTGAGAGCAGGACTTTTTGAGTATTTGCCTTTACTTTTGTATCACACAGCTATGTTACAATGCGGCTGACACCCACCCCATGTGTTCCCAATTAAGAGTTAATAAGCATGTAGGGATAAGAGAAATACCCCTATCAGTCTCAGTTTAGATATCTTCGACAGAAGCAAGATGAATAGTCAGTATAGGACCCACCTAAAAGGTTTGCCTTTATGTCACAGGTGGACATCAATCTATTAATAGCCATTGGAGTAACTAATTAACTTCCATTTGTGTAAATATGCATTGGGATTTGGGAAGAGCGCAGGTAATAATAAAGGACCCCGAGAGGTAATTAGCTTAACCTAATTTACATTCCTCAGTCAGAGGAACTTTAAGTTATGTTAAGGAACCATATTCATTGAAGTGTTTTACCAGTGGAACAGGTTAGTTAGTATACTTTATAACAGCCAGAACATACAACCACAATGTATCCTGATTGTATACTGCGTTGCCGGTGAGTCCACAACCAAGTGGAGCAGAAGTCAGGCACCTCTGGACGATAGTATGGGGGTGCCACAATACCAATACATCATATGTATGTTGACTGCTACTATCAAAGTTACCATTTATTGTGTCAGCATTAGAAATATTCACAATACAAGATATTTTATTCCTATGTTAATCCATAGATGCATATATATGTTTGACAAGATTATGTTTAACAGAAAGCCATTTTCCACATTCATAACACGAGAATGGTTTCTCTCCTGTGTGAGTTCTCTGATGACGAACAAGCTCTGTGTTGGTGACAAAACATTTTTCACATTCAGAACATGAGAATGGTTTCTCTCCGGTGTGAGTTCTGATGTCGGACAAGATCTGAATGTTGCACTATACATTTTCCACATTCAGGACATGAAAATAGTTTCACTCATGTGTGAGTTCTCTGATGACAGACAAGCCCTGCATTTGTGACGAAACATTTTTCACATTCAGAACATGAGAACGGTTTTACTCCAGTGTCAATTCTCTGATGACGGACAAGATCTTTGTTGGTAGAAAAACATTTTTCACATTCAGAACAGGAGAACGGTTTCTGTCCTGTGGGAGTTCTCTGATGACGGACAAGCTCTGCACTTGTGAAAAAACATTTTTACCATTCAGAACACGAGAACGGTTTCTCTCCTGTGTGAGTTTTTGGATGACTGACAAGATCTGAATGTTGCACTATACATTTTCCACATTCAGGACATGAGAACAGTTTCACTCATGTGTGAGTTATCTGATGTCTGACAAGGTTGGCTTTGGTTAAAAAACATTTTTCGCATTCAGAACATGAGAACGGTTTTACTCCAGTGTGAATTCTTTGATGACGGACAAGATTGCTGGTGGTGACAAAACATTTTCCACATTCAGGACATGAGAACGGTTTCTCTCCTGTGTGAGTTCTCTGATGATGGACAAGCTTTGTATTGGTGAAAAAACATTTTTCGCATTCAGAACATGAGAACGGTTTCTCTCCTGTGTGAGTTCTCTGATGTCGGACAAGGTTGGCTTTGGTTAAAAAACATTTTTCACATTCAGAACATGAGAACGGTTTTAATCCAGTGTGAATTCTCTGATGACGGACAAGATCGCTGTTGGTGACAAAACATTTTTCACATTCAGGACAGGAGAACGGTTTCTCTCCTGTGTGAGTTCTCTGATGATGGACAAGCTTTGCATTAGTGAAAAAACATTTTTCGCATTCAGAACACGAGAACGGTTTTTCTCCTGTGTGAGTTCTCTGATGACGGACAAGGGCTGCTTTGTAGGTAAAACATTTTCCACATTCAGAACATGAGAACAGTTTTTCTCCTGTGTGAATTCTCTGATGACGGACAAGGTCTCCTTTGTAGGTAAAACATTTTCCACATTCAGAACATGAGAACAGTTTCTCTGCTGCGTGAGTTCTCTGATGACAGAAAAGGTCTGCTTTGTAGGTAAAACATTTTCCACATTCAGAACATGAGAACGGTTTCTCTCCCGTGTGAGTTTGCTGATGTCCAACAAGATTTGAATGTAGCCTAAAACATTTTCCACATTCAGAACATGAGAACGGTTTCTCTTCTATGTGAGTTCTCTGATGACGGACAAGGTCTGCTTTGTAGGTAAAACATTTTCCACATTCAGAACATGAGAACGGTTTCTCTCCCGTGTGAGTTCTCTGATGACGGACGAGGGCTGCTTTGTAGGTAAAACATTTTCCACATTCAGAACATGACAACAGTTTCTCTTCTGTGTGAGTTCTCTGATGACGGACAAGGTCTGATTTGTAGGTAAAACATTTTCCACATTCAGAACATGAGAACGGTTTCTCTCCTGTGTGAGTTCTCTGATGTCCAACAAGATTTGAAGGTAGCCTAAAACATTTTCCACATTCAGAACACGAGAACGGTTTCTCTTCTGTGTGAGTTCTCTGATGACGGACAAGGTCTGATTTGTAGGTAAAACATTTCCCACATTCAGAACATGAGAACGGTTTCTCTCCTGTGTGAGTTCTCTGATGATGGACAAGGGCTGCTTTGTAGGTAAAACATTTTCCACATTCAGAACATGACAACAGTTTCTCTTCTGTGTGAGTTCTCTGATGACGGACAAGATCTGCTCTGTAGGTAAAACATTTTCCACATTCACAACATGAGAACGGTTTCTCTACTGTGTGAGTTATCTGATGTCTAATAAGAATTGAGTGATAGCTAAAACATTTTCCACATTCAGAACATGAGAATGGTTTCTCTCCTGTGTGAGTTCTCTGATGTCTAATAAGAATTGAGTGATAGCGAAAACATTTTCCACATTCAGGACATACGAAAGGTTTGGGGTTTAGGTTTACTATCGCCTTTGAGAACATATAGGTATCTGAGAAAATGCTTGATTGTTCAGTTAGACTCCTTGGTTCTGTTATTAAAAGATTTCTTCATAGCCTTGCTTCATGTATTTCTGTTCTTGTCACCTCTCCTGACAAATACACCTGAAAGAAATATACTGGGAGTTAAAGGAAATCGGTCACTATAAAATTATTGTTTGCTATACTTAGAAAAACTGTCAATATTTGCCTAATAGATAAGAAATACGACCCTCAGGTGTCATAGTGATTACAAAGAAATTAAGTATTTTGTGTGCTTTAACCCATTCACTAGCAAAATTGTGTATACTCCTTTTTACTTTAATTTACAAAATTAGATTTAATCCATAAAGCCTAGCTTTTATGCAAGAGGAACAAATTACAGATACTATGTGTAACGGCACCCCCAGGCATAAAAGGGTTAAACTGCCGTTTAGGAGATCTTCTCCTCCCAGAGACACAGGCACATCTACTGCAGAACACCAATCCGCCGAACAGGAAACCATACGAATGCTGTAAACAGCCGAATAGAAAAAACCATACGAATAGGTTTACACTCCTAGCAGTCAAACTGGAACAGCATACAATAAATCCCCCCAAGAACGAGACAAAGCTCCATGTTGAGGGTCAAGCAGTGAACAGTCAGAGCTGTGGGTTTATTGTGCTTATGTACACATTAGTACCACCCACAGGGTTTTGGAACACAACCAATAAACACATCCAATACACTCAGACACTCCCACACAAAATCCTCCCCTCTGCCTGTGACACAATGGGTAATGTAATTATAACAAGCAGAGAAATACAATTTTTCCACATTATTCATAACTTGAACAGTATGCATCACATTCACATAAAATTACATTTTGAGAGTCAGCATACTCCAAATACAAACATACGTCAAAATCATCCAAATTGGTCCAGTGGTTCAAAAGATAGATCGTAGTCCTTTGTGACCAAATGAAGCATGGCTTTTCTTCCCAAAACCAGTTCCACAGAGTCTTCTATCCTGGAGATAATTGGGAAGTAATCCAATTATCTCCAAAGACAGAGGCAAAACTCCATTGAACACATGGCAGCAAAAGACAATACAACACATAAAAACATATCACTGTGCAGCCATTGCACAAAACAGGTATATTCAACATATCCCCAGATAGCTCAGATCTGAGCACACATTATTACTGAATGGCGCTCAGAGCACACACATACAGTTCAATTTCCATGGAAGCAAAGTCTTTCCCACAGTCTTTCATTATACGAATGGGCTCCATGGCGTAGCTATCTGGGGTATCACTGCTCAAACAGGGCAAGCACCAAATGATCTGGCTTTCATGTCTTTGCAGGGGAAAATCCAAGCCTTTTAACATGGGGCCATAATTCAAAGGCAACAGGCGAGCAACCAGGCTTCTCCAATGCAATGTGGTGCGATTGGTCTCGTCACATCTCTCCCCTTTTCCAAACAGACTAACAGGGTGTCTGACCTCCTGACGGTCAGTGCCCTTGTTAGTCCAGCAGCCCACCCACAATAAATGGTTACTACACCTGGGTAGAGGAGAACTTTGTCCATGTCCAGGTGCCTCACCACGGCTGTGTGGGTGACTGGTAAGCTGACTTGGTGGGTTGCTGAGTGGGCAGAGACGAGTGGTACTCTGCCCTGGTGCCAGCGCTACCACGGGAGTAGCCTGGTTGAAGCCTGGTTGTTGGAGGGGGAGACCGACTGTCTCCCCTTTGGTTACACTGCTCGGTTGCTGGAGGGGGAGACCGACTGTCTCCCCTTTGGCTAAACAGTACTGTCGCTGGGGGGCAGAACCGACCGTCCCTACCCCCTGTGCTGTAAGTGCAGAGACCACGGTCCCATCTGCACGGTTGTGGGGTTTACTGTCCCCCCCGGTACATTAAGCTGCCGCTGGGGAGAGGGGGTAACAAGCTCCTCTCCCATATATACTTCCAGCCGTGGTGGAGGGAGACCGACTGTCTCTGCTCCCAATAGAGAGTCCTGCTGCTGGGGAAAGGAGACTGGGCTCTCTATTCCCTGTAGGACACTCTGCCGCTGGCGAATGGAGACTGGGCTCCCAATTCCCTGCTGTATCTCCCGCTGGGGAATGGAGACTGGGCTCCCAATTCCCAATAACTCATACTGCCGCTGGGGAATGGAGACTGGGCTCCCAATTCCCAATGACTCATACTGCCGCTGGGGAATGGAGACTGGGCTCCCAATTCCCTGTAATTCACACTGCCGCTGGGGATCTGAGCCGACTGCCCAGCATCCCTGTAGCTCACCCTGCCACTGGGGAGGTAGGACGCTGCTCTCCTCTCCCGGCAAGGTACACTGCCGCTGGGGGACAGGACCAACTATTTCTGTCCCCTGTAACTCAGCCTGCCACTTGGGAATGGAGCTTGGGCTCCCAATTCCCTGCAATTCACTCTGCTGCTGGGGGACAGAAGCAACTATCTCTGTCCCCTGTAACTCAGCCTGCCGCTGGGGAATGGAGCTTGGGCTCCCAATTCCCTGCAATATCTCCTGTTGGGAAATGGAGACTGGGCTCCCAATTCCCTGCAGGACCGGTGGAGAGACCTCGGTCCCATCTCCACCAGCCACCTGGGGTTCTTCCCAGTAACATTCTGCAATATCTGCCCAGCTGAATGGGTCTGGATCTGGGTCTCCGCTTCCCTGCTGAGCCTTCTCACTGGAGTGGAACAGATCTTGGTAGCCCTGCTCCAGCTCCATCTCTCGGGTCACTAGGTGGACCAGGTCTTGCTCAATCTCATGAGTGTCATCCCAGTCATACCTGTCTCCCTCCACTCCAAGAGATCACTGAACCGAGTTTGTATAGAGCTCCCAAACTCAGGCTCTGAAAAAGCCTCCCATAACAAACATAGAATGTGACGGCAGATAAGAACCATTCGGCCCATCTAGTCTGCCCAATTTTCTAAATACTTTCATTAGTCCCTAGTCTTATCTTATAGTTAGGATAGCCTTATGCCTATCCCACGCATGCTTAAACTCCTTTACTGTGTTAACCTCTACCACTTCAGCTGGAAGGCTATTCCATGCATCCACTACCCTCTCAGTAAAGTAATACTTCCTGATATTATTTTTAAACCTTTGTCCCTCTAATTTAAGACTATGTCCTCTTGTTGTGGTAGTTTTTCTTCTTTTAAATATAGTCTGCTCCTTTACTGTATTGATTCCCTTTATATATTTAAATGTTTCTATCATATCCCCCCTGTCTCGTCTTTCCTCCAAGCTATACATGTTAAGATCCTTTAAACTTTCCTGATAAGTTTTATCCCGCAATCCATGAACCAGTTTAGCAGCCCTTCTCTGAACCCTCTCTATGGGATCAATATCCTTCTGAAGGTACAGTCTCCAGTACTGTGTACAATACTCCAAGTGAGGTCTCACCAGTGTTCTGTACAATGGCATGAGCACTTCCCTCTTTCTACTGCTAATACCTCTCCCTATACAACCAAGCATTCTGCTAGCATTTCCTGCTGCTCTATTACATTGTCTGCCTACCTTTAAGTCATCAGAAATAATCACCCCTAAATCCCTTTCCTCATATGTTGAGGTTAGGACTCTATCATATATTCTGTACTCTGCCCTTGGGTTTTTACGTCCAAGATGCATTATCTTGCACTTATCCACATTAAATGTCAGTTGCCACAATTCTGACCATTTTTCTAGTTTACCTAAATCATTTGTCATTTGGCTTATTCCTCCTGGAACATCAACCCTGCTACATATCTTAGTATCATCAGCAAAAAGACATACCTTACCATCAAGACCTTCTGCAATATCACTAATAAAAATATTAAAGAGAATGGGTCCAAGTACAGATCACTGAGGTACCCCACTGGTGACAAGTCCAAGCTTCGAATATATTCCATTAACTACAACCCTCTGTTGCCTGTCACTCAGCCACTGCCTTACCTATTCAACAATATTTGAATCCAAACTTAAAGATTGCAGTTTATTGATAAGCCTTCTATGTGCAACAGTGTCAAAAGCCTTACTGAAATCTAGGTAAGCAATGTCTACTGCACCACCCTGATCTATAAATTTAGTTACCCAATCAAAAAAATCAATAAGATTAGTTTGGCATGATCTCCCTGAAGTAAACCCCATGTTGTCTCTGATCTTGAAATCCATGTGTTTTTAGATGTTCATCAATCCTATCCTTTAACATGGTTTCCATCACTTTCCCCACTACTGAAGTAAGGCTTACTGGCCTATAGTTGCCCGACTCCTCCCTATTACCTTTCTTGTAAATGGGTACAACATTCGCTAATTTCCAATCTTCTGGGACTACTCCTGTTAACAATGATTGGTTAAATAAATCTGTTAATGGTTTTGCTAGTACACCACTAAGCTCTTTTAATAGCTTTGGGTGTATTCCATCAGGTCCCATTGAATTATTTGTCTTTACTTTTGACAGTTGAAATAGAACCTCTTCCTCTGTAAACTCACATGTAATAAATGACTTATTTATCCTTTTTCTCAACTGAGGTCCCTTTCCTTCATTTTCATCTGTAAATACAGAATAAAAATATTAATTGAGGCAGTCAGCTAGACCTTTATCCTCTTCTACATACCTTCCTTCTTTTGTTTTTAATCTAACTAATCCTTGTTTTACTTTTCATTTCTCATTTATGTATCTAAAAATGTTTTATCCCCTTTTTTACTGACTGTGCTATTTTCTCTTCTGTGTGTGATTTGGAAGCTCTTATAACTTGCTTAGCCTCTTTCTGCCTAATCTTATA